AAAATCTTTGTCTAAATCAATTATCATCAGGAGTTGTGAAATGGTGATTTTCTAATTACATCATTTCAGAAAGGTTAACTTCTGCAAGTTGCAAGAAATACTGTCAGGAAACATCGTTTTTCTAATTTTAAGTCTCATTTTACTTCCGTTTATAACTTTTAAATAACTAATGACACCTAACCACATAACTATAATCTATTTCTAATGCACTTTTTGCTACATAAAAGTCACTTGCTTTATTTTAAAAGTGTTTCAATTGCAAAAGTTTGTCAGTTTTACAGAAATTTCAGGCTATTCGGGAAAGTATAAAGTAGTATCTTCCCTCCCTCTCTCCCAACGACTGGTCCCACTGCCAAAGAATAAACACTGCAGAGATTGTGTATCTCTCCAGAGGAGCACACATGTCATGCAGAAATGTATATACATCATGTTTATGTACATAAATTACATAAGTTTTAAAGAATAAATGAGATAATAGTATATATACTGTTCTGTGCCCTGTTTTTTCCACAACAGTATGTATGGACACCTGCCTTAAAGGACATCTGAAAATGCCTCTTTTTACCAGCATGTATTCCTTAGGAGAAATGTGCTGTAATTTAACTAGCCATTTCTTGATCAGTATTGTAACTTGTTTCTGCTTCAACAATTATTGCTGTCTATAAAATGTAACATGCTAGTGCAAGTATTTCTGAGGAATAAAGTCAAAGAATTGAAACTGCAGGATAAAAGATCAGGATAGATACATTGTACATTGCTTCTAGGTATTAACGAATAGCCCACCAAAAAAATTACAATTTTCTTCATCTCCACTAACTGTATCCTAATGCACTGTCAAATTATAGCAGGCCTCTACTAAAGGAACCTCAAGCAGCAACACTGGCCAAAGAATCACAAAGTCTAAAGTGAGAATGAGAACCAATATTTACCAAGTGTTTAAGTACCAGAAACCGCACTTGACCTTTAGAGGATCTCAATAATACAATAATTGTGTGAGGTAAGTGCTATTGTCTCCATTTTTGAAAAGAGGAAACTAAGGCTCAGAAAGCTACCCAACATTATATACAGCTTTATAAGTAATAGGGCCAGCATTTGAATCCAAAGGATCTAGTACCAGAGTGAGACCACATGGAACTGCCCCAAACTGGGGCCAAAGTGATGGGGTTCTCAAAAAAAAATGGGGGCTCCCAATTAACCGGGAAAAGGGTGGTTCCTAAATGTTTGCTCACAGGCTCAAATGTTAATTTCATGCTACTGCAAAAAGTCATACTTTCCCCTTTCAGACTTTTCCTATGAACTCTCAGGCTGTCCTTAGCAATCCAGCTCCAACAAAGGAACAATGAGCACATGGGCCACAGAACCTGGAGGGGCTGACCAACATGGACTTGGAAAGTTGATAGGCCAGGAGCAGGGGAAAATGTGAAGCAAGTGGTAGGCTAGCATGGCCAACTTAAGATATTTTGGACCCGTATCAGTTGTCACAAAAACATTATGGAGGAAGTGGAACTACTGTACACATGAGAGAGAACCACAATTAACGGACAGTCTGTTTATACCACCCTTCCCTGCCTCGAACACTTGCTATTTCTGCTGTACAAATATGCTGGGCCCAGTAACTTAATCACATACAGACTCAGACAGCTGGGAGCTCCCTGCCCTGACAAAACAGGTTAGACTAGTGGCTGTGCAACCATGCAGCTCCCATCACAGGGTCTGGGGCGCTGCTTTCAACTTCCCTGGAGAGTCTAGTCTGTGGTCACCTTCCCTTGTAGCTGCCTGGGGCTGCTGTCAGGGAAGAGTGCTTATAACTCTCCCTTGGTGGGTGGGGAAGTTTCTTTCCATTTAAATGTTAAGCATTAACAAGCTGCCTCTTCTTGTCCTTAGGTACTTTACACCCAAGTGAGTTCTTATTATGGGATCTATTTGTGCACATCAATCCTAATGTAACATCAACTATTCTTTGGGGATAATGGGATAAAAAGGTGTGAGGGAGGGGAAAGAAAGTCTCTTCCCCTATCCCCATTTTGTCTAAATTCCAGGCACAAGGCTCCAGAAGTTCTGTGAGTATAGATAACAATTGAAAGGTCACAGAAAATTGACAACATAAGGTGATTGTGATTTAAATAGGGAGACTTGAGCATCAAATTAAATGATCTGAGGAGCATCTTAAAATACCATTACAAATGCCACAGAATGGAGGCATGGACACACTTCCATGGTTCAAAAACCCAAAAGCACAAAAGGGTAGAGAGTGATGTCTCCTTCCTACCCCTATATCATAGCCACCTAGTTCTTCTCCCCAGCAAGGAAACCAGTGATACTGCATGTCCTACTAGAGATATTTTGTGACTATACTAGCAAATATAGATATTGCCACGATTTATTTTAATATATTATTATACATTATATATTACTATATATTATATATTCCTACATATTATACATCAGTATATATAGTAATATATATCACAATTTATTTTAAATATTAAAGCCTTCCCTCTCAGGTTAAAGTGCCACTTAAATATTATTAAAGTGGCAGAAATTGGATTTTTTTTTTAATTTCAAAGTAAAGAGTTTGGAATTCACAGTTGAATTCTTTCACTCATAAAAATTTGCCAACATTGAAAAGTTAAATTGTTTATCTCCAGAAATGAAGTTGGGCACCCAGTATGCAGCAGATACTTAAATGTTTCCTTAGGTCATTTTGTCCTTTATTACTCAGAGGCAACAGGACAATTACTCACTTCCTCTACTGATCTCGACAAATGCAATCTGATTTCTCACTATTAAAAGGAAGTCCTGAAAACCTGTATTGTGTTCACTTAAGTGTTCAAAGATTTTCATACTGATTTTTTTTTTGTCAGAATCCCAATAGTCTTAGGTATAATTAGCTAATCAAATGACATTACAATTCAGATTGGCAGGGGCTTAAAACAGAAGAGTAAATATCTCTGAAAGAAATGTTTCTCACTACAGGCAATCCACATCAAAATATTAATATTTGGTGTGGACATCACATATTGACAAACTAAATGTCTTAATACATTTCAAAGTAACACTAAAACCCAAAGACATAGAATAAAATTACACAAAATGCTATGAAATTATGTTGCCTTTTCTGAACAATCATCAATTAAGCCAGATTTCAGTAACACAAAATGAAACAGTACACTGTAACATGGCCCCAATGACTAAAAGCTTGATATGAATTTAAAAAGTACATATCAGCAAAAGAAAATTCCACTGCTGTTTTTAAGCTTTAAGATAAAGGTGTCTGAGCTCCTAAGAACATAAAACACTCCTTGGAAAATGTATTTTTAAATCCCCATTTATTTTCTATGCACTTGAGCATGTATCTATGAGCCTGTCAAAGGTACCTTCTAAAAGTATTTCACATTGTACTTTAATGAATTGGATCTAGGGACTATAAAAAATATTTTCAAGACTATACACATATAAGGGCAATCATCATTTGCATTATGATTCAGAGTCAATCACCAAAAATGACAATGTGCTTCAACTCCCAACTCTGCTCTCTGCTCAGGAAACCTATCTTACCTGTAGCCCTGGCATCAGTCACCAACTGACACAAATCACAGAGCTCAAGAATGACCAGGTGCCCAGGCCAAAGTTTGTGTTCATACCTGTAATTTGCAATAACCAAACTCTATTTTGGACCTGGTCCTGTTTCAAGATCTGTTGAGGCCACTACCTCTTGGAAACTCGAGGTCTCCCAATAGCACTTTGTAACCGTGGTGGCCATGAGCCTAGGCTATCAATGACCAATCAAGAACCATGAGAAGCAAGGCCCAGGGCCAAGGGTAATTTTCACATTAAAGATTAAGGTGTCTGCTTTCCATTCTCTATCAGGGAATGCTGCATGGAAATTCAATGCAGAGATCCCTCTAGCAAAGTGAGGAAATAAATTCTCCCTATCAGGAACAGTAATGAAGTAGGCTCATCTATTTCACATGAGGATGCCAACATGAGCCTAACACTACTGAATTAAATTCAAAAAGAGAGTACTTGGTTCCAGTTTGGAGTCATTGCAGGGGGCAGGGAACATAGTGGGAGAAGAGGGATGATTCAGATTATGGCTAAATAACACCTATATAATGACAGAAAATTTGTTCTGACCACTCTGCATGTGCCATTAAATCCAGAAAAGGATGGTGGCATCAATCCACTCTTCACAACAAAAGAAAGCTGACTCCAGAATTAAAACCACTACTTTTTCCTCTCCATACACTCACAAATGTAACTTCTAAGTCGCGTCCATGTTACAATGTGAAGAATACAAAAGCTCCTTTTCCCTTGGAGAAGGCAAGTAACTGGGTATAGCTTCCCACCTGGGTACAAGGGTGGGAGGCGCTGTCTTCCTGACTAGGCCCGACATGGCTGAGCACCATCCTGGGTCCTGGACCACGATCACCTTTCACAGCGCTTCATGCTCCTACTTTATTAACCAGAGATCCAGAAACATAGATCTCAGAAGTAGACGCCCAGTCAGGTTGACCATGGATAGATACAGCATCCACCAGGCCCCGCCAGCCCATACGCAAGACAGGAAGCCCGAAGCCCTCGCCCCAACCCTCACTGTGGCCTGCCTGCTGGGGTGGCTCGGTCCCTTGCGAAGTCACCCACCTCCCATCACGGCACACACACCCTATTGAGCTGAACTGGGGCGGGGGTAGGGGTCCGGAGGCGCGATGCGGGATGAGACAGAACCGGTCGGACAGAACCGGGCCACCTCTGTCTTTCATTTTCCTGGTTCCCCAATGAAGAAACGTCAAAATGGGATAGAATTCTTTTTAACAGTAATAGAAAACCAGAAAATGCAGACAGTTGACCTTGGAAACTAACACAGTCTCAGCGGGAAAAGGAAAAGGGACGAAACACGTTGGCAAGTGAAGGAGGAGCACAGCGCAGCGCGAAGGGGAAGTGCAGCGGCCGGGCTGCCTGAGGAGTGTCAGGGTGGTGGGCGCGGGTGTGGTGCTCACCATAGATCATGGCCAGCCCGGTCTCGTGCAGGAAGCGCACTCGGCGGTGCTTGAAGAGCCAGATGGTGAGGATGGTGAGAGTGAGCAGCAGAATGAAGGTGAGTAGGCTCACGCTGTCTTGGCGGTGGCTCTCCTCCGCCTCCTTCTCAGTGGCGAGCTCCTCCATGGCGCTGCTGTCCTCGGCCGCCGCCCCAGAGGAGGAGGAGGCCGCGGCCGCGACATGCAGCCCCCGACCCGACAGCAGCGTCAGCAGCAGCAACATCAGTCGCTGTGGCAGCGCCCTGGCCGCCCACCCCGGGCCAAAGCGCGCCGCGTCACCACCAGGCTCCATGGCCCCAGAGCCGTCCGCGCCTCCTGCGCACCGGGACCAGCAGCCCACGCCGTCGGTGGCTTCGCGATGCAGACCTGCGCGAGTAGCTGAGGCCGCCGCAGTTCCTCCTCCTGCTGGCGCCCGGGCGGGGGAGGGGCGCGCGCAGTGCGCAGGATCCCCAAGCACCGCCCCCGCCCGCGCACCTGTTCGCCCCCACCCGCGCTGCGCCCCCGGCAGGCCCGGCCACCGCAGCAAGTTCGGTTGTCGCTCTCCGACCCATGGGCCGGGCCGCCAGCCTCTGGGCTCTCTACGATATTCCCCCAGTCCTGGTGTACCTGGCCAGGCCGTCTGGGGTCACGGGGCCGGTTCTCAGGTCCTTGCCGCCACGCTTTCTAAACCGGTCGCCAGAGGTCGCCCGTTCCTGGCGGCAGCATCAGCTTGAATTCCCGCGCTGTGAGGTCTGGAGTCCTTTCTGGGGCCACTGCGAAGTGTTTGATCTCAGGCCACTGTGTAGCCCCTCTGGGCCCAGTAAAATGGGGGCTTTGAGGGAAGCGAGGAGCCACGAAGCCACGTTACATTTCTCTCAACATCTCTCACAGTGCCTGCCAGCTTTCGGTCCTTTCCAGAATCTGCCAGTCTTCATTCAAACCTCTTGTCTAGACTGTCCAAAAGTGAGGACTGATAAAGGGTCAGAAGCAGGTGAGGAGAGTTAAAATAGCTCCTTCACTTGGGCAGTAGACTAACTTCTTACTCTGGGAAGAGAGTTGAACCAAAAGGAAGTGACCACTTGCCACTCCATGTTGGTAAGCAGCAGGTTGCTGGCG